TAGAGAACAAGTAGCAATTGGGTTAAGGCAGTATGGACCCCGTGTTCACACAGCCCAGGTGAGGACTTTGGGATGTCAGGGATGTATCACCATCAGTCTGTGTCTCCTGACTTGGACAGGGAGGTAGCCAGGGGCAAAGAGAGGGCAAACCTTCAGCGCTTTACAGCACAGCAGCCTGGGGAGGACTTCAGGTCCCAGGGAGATTTAATGGAGCTCTGCAAAGAGTGGGGCAGCACAAAGAGATGCCCACCCCAGAGTTAATGGTGTAGGCTGGTGCCAGAAGGATTGGTTTATTTCCCATCATCCGCTTCTTGTAGCAGGAGGCAGGAGTCCCTGGGGGGTTGCACACCCCAAGGGTCCTTCTGGGCCAGCTGACATGTCATGCATTTTTGAAAGTGCCTAACTCGATTAATGCCGCCTTTTCAGCTGCTCTGCCCTCAGGAGAGTAATCTTTCTGTGTGAAACCCTTCCAACTGTGAGCTTGCTTTGCTTGCTTCCTCTTCGGTGGGACCTGTCACCTCTCCCTCACCTGCTTGCCTCCATCACCCCACAGCCATCCCCAGCTGTCCCGGTGTCACCTGGACCAGGCCAATCCTGTCTGCTTGTCCGTTGCCCTGGCTCCAGGAGCTCAGTGGGGCCATTGGCCTGTGAGCACATTTCCTGGGAGTATTTCTGCCTTGCTCTTGGTAAAGCAGGGGGTAATGATGTTGTGCTATGGGAGTGACCTTTAATAACTCAGCAGTGACATTAACTCACCTTTTACACAAGGTGAAAGCCACGCACAGCCTTAGATCTGTGATTTCTGCTGGTGCCACAAGCCCTGCTCCTTCTGGACAGGGGATAGGTGGCGGTGCTGGCGTACTCAGCAGGGTGGAGCTTCAGCATCTGAGTGATCTGGGGATGTGACCCTAGGAAGTACATGAAACTGGAGCTTGTTTTGGTTTGTTTCTCCTTCTGCCTTAGTTATCGTTGCTGCTTTACCTTCTCCTGTCTTTCCCTGCGGTGACCCGCTGCAGAGCCCCGTTGGGAGGGCATGCTGTGGCATCGCTGCCCACCCTGGGCATGCTGGGCAGCCTGCACCAGTGTGGGCCAGTAGATACACCTCCTGGGGTTCAGCAGATGCTGTCAAGATGAGCAGGGACATTTCCTTCTAGGTGAGGACTTTAGGACATGGGCTGTCATTGCATCTCCCTCCTTTTCCTCGCTCTGCTCTTGGCACTGTGGAGGGACAGTGATGCAAGCTGGTGGGCAGAGGGGCTGTGGTTGGCTTTTCCTGTGGTGCAGCTGTGAGCTGTGAGTAAGTACACAAACCTTAGCTCAGCAGGGGAATTTGTCCCAGCAAAGAAATAGGCTTCAGGGCCATTTGGAGGAAATGCTGTTCAGTAGTCACTCTTGATGAGGGCAAACCCTCGCCACTGCCTTCCTCAGCTGCTGGCCGGCTGGCCCAGCTCAAGCCCAGTGTTCCCACACGGTGCACTGGGAAGGCTTTTGGTTTGCGCCTGTATTATATTATTTTGTTTTCAGCTGCAAACACCCTTGAGCTGTCTGTAACTGGCTCCAAAGTGCCTTTTTAATATGTATCTGATGGCCAGAAAGAGAAATAAAAGTGCACTGTAGGGGCCTGTAGGCTGTTTGTGTGCCTCATGGGCATGCAGTCTCAGGTTCTTTTCCCTGTGATGACCTGAGAAGAGCTCATGCTTTGTTGGGAGGCTCATTTTAACCCAGTGCCATGGCTAGTGGGGCCACCAGCAGGTGGTCCTTGGGGGCCTGGGCAAGGATGCTCCATACGTGGGTGCCATGCACTAGGGAAGCAGTCTCAGCACTGTTAAAACTCTTGCATTTCATGCAAAGGGGCGGTGGCTTCTGGCTCCTGTCCCTGGTGCTGGCCGGGGCTGTGGGGAGCTGGGGCACTCCTCTTGCAGCGCTGCAGTGTTGAGGGGATGGTCCTCATGTTGCTGGCTCTCGCACAGCCTCAGCCCTGTGGGTCACGTCATCCTGTGTGAATCTTCACGTGTAGTTTGCAGAAGCGATGTGATTTCTAGCTCCTCTATTCTGGGGGGCGGGTGTGGGAAACTGTGGCCCTAGCAGGCTCAGAAACCAAGATAGAGACTGAGATATTTTCTTTCAACATCTCCAAGGCTGGGGACAGTGGGTGACACAAGGCTGTCCTGGCCTTAGCAGGAAGGACTCCTCTCCTCCTGGTGTCAATCTGCCTGCACTGCCATTAAATCCCCACTGTTAATTCCTGGATGCATTTTGTCTCAACTGAGGGGTGGCCAGGTTGGGTGAGATAGACTTGGAGGGCTTAACCCCTTGCTTTCAGCCCCTCCAGCTCCAGGCTGACCTGCTTATGTCAGGAGGCTCCGTCTCTCAGCTCCACAGTGCTGATGGAGGCATGTCCACAGCCCTTTGGCCCCTCCACTTTGGGATGGGTCCTCTCTGCAGGTGGAGGAGCTGCTCTCTGCTCCTTGCCTTCCTCCCTGCATTCACAGCCTTGGCCAGGAGGTGCTGGAGGGGAAGAGCTGCCTAAAGCTTGGGCTGATGGTGAGCATCTTATCTTCCCCTTTCTTCTCCATTTTGAAGACAACCCCCTTCAGCATCAGGAAAATTTCTTGTCCCAGGGGTCAGCTTTCTATTGACACGTTGGGTTCCTCCCTCCCTTTCTTTTCATGTTACATTTCTTATTGTTCATTCACTGGAAAAAGTCCCTCGCCGTGCTTTGTGCTTCTCCACAGCAGGACTCACTAATCACATCATCTCCCAGCACCAGGTCCCAGAGGCTTCTGCTTTAGAGTGAAAAATATTGTTGTCTAGGCACCGTGATCCCATGAAGTTGCCTCAAGCCATTCTATACAACTGAGGGTAATTTTATAAGTGATTATGGATTTTGCATCTCGGGGGTTTACCTCTCCTCAGGATCTGTTCTTAACCTGCGGTATTTATCAGAAGCAGCTCTGAGAGCCACGCTTTCATTGCCTGGCTAGGAGGGGTCACAGCTAGCAGTTTTGGGACAATCACCATGACAATGGCCAGACCCATGTGCTGAACTGGTGCATGGACTGGTGTGTCGCTGGAGGGCTTCGAGGTGCTCCTGGCCCTGGTTGTGTCTGCCCCTGCACTGCGGGCATCTCCCTGTCACCAGGTACAGGCAACGTTCAGCTGCAGGCTGACCGGAGGCACGGTTGTTGTAGATGAGCTGGATTGATTTCATCCTGAGGCAGATGCCCAAGTTAGTGGCTGCTGGAGGTGTTGAGCAGGTGGGTCACCCCTCAGAGCACCCCAATACTTGTTAAGGCGACTCGGCTGAGAGGAGCGAAGATTGTACTGGCAGGACTGGAGATGGGTGATGCTCTGCAGGGGCACGTGCGCGCCTTTGTCCCCTCCAGCCCTGCTTTGCTCTTCCTCGTGAACAGTGCCGAGGTGGCCTTTGGGGTCCCCCATGGGGTCCCAGTAGCAGGCAGAGGGGGGTGCTGGGGAGGGGTGACAGTGCTGCTGCTTATTGGTCCCTGCTTGGGGCATCTCGCCTGGGCAGAGCCTTGTTCTTGCATGTGGCTGCAGGAAGGACAAGTCAGGTGGGATCTCTCGGGGGTTGTGAGGAGCAGAGCCTCTAATCCAGAAATGGAAACCAGCCTTTAATGATAATCTGCAAAGCCAGAGACAAATACTCATTTGGGAGCACATTGTTAAAGGCCCTGAGTTCCCAGCTGGGAATGAAGCACCTACAGTGCTGTGAAAGATGGGGCTCGTTTGTCCCCGGGAACTCTTGCAGATAGGCGTGGTGACAGGCAGGCACAGTTCCAGCGTGTCCCTCCATGGGCCATTGGAAGGGTGAACAGAGTTACTGTGAGCACCTGCTGAGATTTAAAACAGGGAATGTAGTCTGAGTCATTGGGAATGTTTGAAAATGTTAAACCATACACTTTTTACTGGCACGTGTTGGTCAGACTATCAACTCAGTTCTGTCAGTAAGATGAGCTGTTGAACTGCTTTGCTGAATCGTTTGCCAAATTGATCCTCAAATGGTTTGCGTGTAGAAGCTGCTGGGGAGGTGATCATGCCATTGGTAAGTGCCACGTTGGTTACAGCCTTGTTTCAGCAGAGCTGCTGCCCTTTTAGCACGAGGTGCGGCTGGAGCCATTGTGTCGCAACGAGGGAATCCCGGTGGCACAGCAGGGAGCTGAGCCTTGTCACCGGCGTGTGCTGTGTATTAATTACAAATGCCCAGAGCTCCCTTCTCCAGAGCACCGATTGCTGCTGCTTCGGTGCTCCTCAGGGATCAATGGGCTGTTCAGCCGTGAGTCTCTGCCCAGAGTTGCTCAGTGGGTCTTTCCACACTGCTCCGTGTGTGTGTGTGTGTCCCGTGCTGGGCTCCGTGGGTGCCCCCGCATGGCGCTGGGCTCTGTCGGGGTTAGGGTGCAGCAGGCTCTGGGCTCTATCCCTGCTCCTGCCTTACACGCTTGGAGAAAGCCTTGGGCATTGCTGCTTGCTCATGCTGACCTGCAGCTGTGGGTGGTGTCAGGGGAAATATTCCGGGTTAGCACCTGGTAGAGCTGCAGAAGTTCTCACTTTGGCCCTCTGGGTGGGGGACGCCCAGTCTGCAGCTGTGAGTGCTTTCAGGAGGGCACTGGTGGCTCTGCACTGGCTTGTTGCTGTCCAGATCTGCCTCTTTGTGTCTCAGGCTCACCTTTTTGCACAGTTTGTGTGTCTCTTCCTTTCCTGCTGTGATTTTTACCTCCCCACAAGGCTTTCACCCATGTCCACTTCCATTTCTCCTTGCAACCAGTTGCCAGCTGCCTGTGCCGCTGCTACACCAGCGTCATCCCTAGGCAGTCCCATATGCTGACCTGCTCCATCCTGGTTTCAGAGCTGCTGGCTCAGACCCGTTACTGAATTCACAGCAGCAGTGCCCAGCCAGGGGCTGCATCCTGCCAAGGAGCTGCTCATGCAGGCTTCCCTCCCTCCCACTGCAGGTCCACAATCAAAGTCATGTTATTTTCCAGGTTCAGCCCTCCAGTGCCAAAATTTTTCACCAAACCCCAACCACCAAAGGAGGAGGGAGCCTGGTTGGAGCGCTCGGTGTCTGCAGGGAGCAGCTGCAGGGATGGAGGTGTGGAGGAGCCAGCTGAAGCCCTGGGAGCCGGAGGGGATCCTGCCCAGGAGTCAGCAGATGCAGATGACTCCCTGGAAGCAAAGGTAGATTTTCTTGTACACCTACTGCTCGCATTGCCTCTCCCATCTTGCCACTGAAAAGCTGTGCCTGTGCCTATCCCCCTTTTTGCTGCCCTGCTGTCATGTGCCCTGAGGGTGGGCTGGGCAGCAGGGCCAGCAGCTGGACATGGGGCTTCTGGGGAGGGAGAAATCAGATAGTTTTGCTTGGAGAAGCCCACGAGATCCTACAGACCTATGCTGAGTTTGGTTTTTTTTAGCTTGTTTTTACACTGTAAAATAATCCTTTTATCTGCATCATGATGTGAAGGCTTCCAGTTTCCATCCTGTATCAAGCTGTGCCAAGTACTGTGATCTCCAGGTACCACCTTCTCAACCCCAGCTGGAGCCGCTTGTTTTTATGTCTCTGCCTTCACCCGAGACCTGCAGTATCGCAGGGATGGCCACAGAGCCATCTTTGATAACATGAGACTTTTCAAAGTCATTGTCTCTTCCTCCTGGCATGAAAAATCGCCTTTGGTCTGCTGACCTTCCTGGTGAACCTCGGTGCTTTGGAGCTTGATGTCCGTGCTAGTGGGAACTGGCGCCTTGTTCTGCATTGTGTGGGACAGAGGCTGCACCTGGGGCAATAAAAGAGGATGCAAGAAAGCATGGGAAGTTCTAAAAGCACTGGCATTGGCATTAAGTTCAAGGAGAGGGATTGCACCTGCTCACATCCAAATTTCTGTCATTTTAACTTTATAACATCACATTTTTTCTGTATCAGGAGAAATGATACCCCGTAGATGTAAAGAATAGTGTGGCTGAATGTTTTTGGATAGAAGCATGGAATCTTCTTTATTTCCTGCTTTGTTGCCATGTATGCAGAAACAAACCAGAGAAAATCAAGTAGATGTGGCTAAGTAGGATCCAAAAGGCTTCAAAGGATATGTCTCAATTGCAGCTTCCCCTTCTGCTTGTGTGACTGTGTCAACGCAATATCCACATAACATCCCTGGGGAGGTGGGAGACCATAGGCCTAGGAAAGTTGCGGGTAAGAATCTTTGGGAATAGGCACTTGGCAAAGCTTTGCTAGGCTTGAAAATGTAGAGATGAGAGAAAGAGCATTGAATCTTCTGATTCTGAGCTTCATCTACCGGGGAGATGTAGCCTCTGATTAGATGTAAAGATGTCCCATAAAAATTCTTGCAGATTCTGCTGATGCCAAGGCCCCAGCACAAAGCACTTCACGTTACTAAAGAAGCAGGTATTGCCACACTTCAAAAGCACTCACAAAGCCCTCGCTTATTAAATAGGGGATGAGGTTCCTTTTGAAAGATGGCACCTCTGAGGTCAAACACCAGCTCTCAGCTGCTGCAGGACAGAAGAACATCTCTGCCGCCATCTTCAGGAAGGTGCCATTCAAGAGAGTGACCTGGTGGAGATCCTCAGCTCTCCAGCACTGATGGGTGCACAAGATGAAACCTAAGCACTCTCTGAAATTGGATAGTTGTGCCAAGCCCTTATTTTCCTGGTTTGATACTTCTTGCTTGCTGCTTTTGTCCTGAAGAACCTAACCTGTTGAGGCATGGGGTTCTGGGCACGTTCCCTGGGCGGGAGTGAGCAAAGCTGGTCTGGCACAAGGGTGCAAAATGCCCTTGAGGTCTCTGCCAGGACTGAGGGCTGGGTGCACTCAGCTTCCCCATGCACACTTACATGTAGGAAGTGCAGGCGGAGCCCGTGTCTCACCTGTGGGTGGGCTTGGACCCACATGCAATGGATGGCACGGACATACCCGTACTTGATTTGCACCCAGGTCCCATCTCAGCTGCTCCTGGCTGGGTGAGGTGGCGGAGCCTGCAGCAGCGTGGTCTCACCCAGACCAGCCAGCTGCTCGCTGCAGCCCATGGTGTTTGTTTTGCAGGTGCTGCCATCCCCTGCTGAGGAGCTGGAAGGGGCTGTGGAGACACAGAGCCTGGTGGGGATCAACAAACGGATGCAGTTGGTGGAGGCAGAGCCTGTGAGCTTGGGAATGGAGGAGGTAAGTGGGAATCTGTCTTGTGCCACGTTTCCAGTGTGGCAAGCAGTTCTGTAGCCCCCCTTCCCCACTGGTGGCCCTTGATGCTGCTTGCAGCGTGGCCTCGCGTCCCTCCAAGCCCATCGCACAGCGCTGCTGAAGCAACTGGTCACTGAGAGGCCATGCAGGACATGTGTAGGGCTGACCTGTGCAGCAGCTATGGAGGGCATTGTTCATCTTGTTGCTAATCAAGTGATCAACAGGAAATTTCTGCGGTAGCTTTTGTGTAGCCTCTTGAGAGCGCACAGCATGTGAATCGGAGAGAGTGAAAAGCATCAGATGGGCTGGGCTGGAGTCCTCCGCCCCAGCTCTGAGAGCTTTCACCTCTGAATACTGTGTTTTGCTTAGGGCAGTAAACGGTGCTTTTAAAGGCATGTTCGGCAGTTGAGAGAATTTCTTGGTGCCAGGAGACATCCCAAATTACTTTTAATATGTAGTGTATTAATTAATGAGGGAGCATGGGGGAAGGTTTTTCCCGTGGCCCCTCCACTGGTAAGTGGAATGGGTACAGGATGAGATTAAGGTGATTCTGCCTGTGTTTGAGGAAGACCCCCCGTCCAGCCATGTCTGTACTTTTCTCCAAGCTGTGGCTGCTCTTCTGCACCAATTTCCATGCTTGACATCTTGATCTCTCCTAGCCTACCTCCAGGTTTTCGATGTCCTGCCACTCTATGGTGTGCTGCAGCCAGGCAAGAGCGAGCGGGTCATGTTCACCTTCTTTGGCCACACAAATATCGTCGCCCATGTCACGGCGCTGTGCAGGGTGGAGGGAGGCCCAACCTACGAGATCGCACTGAGTGGGGAGGCTTCACTCGTCAACTACCTCCTAGACGTCACCGAGATCGACTGTGGGCTGCAGGTAACGCACGCTTCTCTTGGCAGAAGTCCTTGCTGTGAAACCATCACTGGCGTGTTGCTGACACCTAGGGCTGGGGCTCTCTCCCCTTCCCAACTACTTTGTTGGCTGTATGGCTTGGAAGTACAATCTTGGAGTGGTACGTCCTGCATCCAATCTGGTTTTTAATGACCATGTCTGCCCTCCTCCATCTGGGAATTCCTCCTCCTCAAGGTAACTAACGCCGCCTCCTGGGGCAGGCAGGGTCCCAGTGGCGATCTCCAGAGGGATGTGCCCCAGATGTCCATCTGCTGATCCACTCCTTAAAGCCTGAGGTCCCAGGAGGCGCTCACTTTTAATGTTCTTGATTAATCAGCAAAATAAACCAGGGAGCAAGTTAACTTGGGCTTCCCAGTCACTGTAGCTGGAGAGAATGTCCTAGAATAATCCCCACTTCTTTTTGGTCAAAA